TCCCTGCGATGGTAAATAATCTAATATAGGTTATACATGTGCAATGATTAGGAGTTTCAAGAAAAATTTCACACTGAGTTCTTTTTCTAGACCAAGTGGGCCAAAGGAGACAGAGAGGTCTTCAGACACTGGGGATAGGGTTGGTCCAGGAGAAAATCCTACTGAGCATTCCAGTTCATGGAGAAGCTGTGTACCAGCGCGTGAAGAGGTCCTAGATACAGCATAGAGGGAACCTAAACTTCTGCATGATATAGGAATAAGTGCTACCTGCCAGCACTCATGCTCACTACCCAGTTACAGGTCACAGATCTAATGCAGACCAAGGAGGGAAGCTGTGCCTGGTGCTAGCATTGCAGGTTGAGAAGTTGCTGTGGGCTCTACATTCTATATGGGGCAGGGAGCAAGTTCAGAAACGAGCAATAGCTGTGTGACTAGAACTCCAGGAGTCTCAGTTCTACTTTCTCACCCCAGTAAAGTAATGACCAGGGAAGAAATTTGAAACCAAAAGAAAGCCTACAGTTTTGTCACTGTGAACCAGCAGAACTTTCCAGCCAGCTGATAACAGCTGAGTCTCACAGTAATCTACTGTAATTCTGAGCAGGGTAGACCCAAAGCCAGATCAGAAACTTGCAGAGCTCAGATCAGAGGGACAACTGTTGGGTTTTGCCATGGATTAGATTACTTTGGGAGCACTGAAAGTTTACAGATTCCCAGCCTGAATTGTCCCTGAGATCCTTGAATAATACTGCATGCAGTACCTCAAGAATCCAGCAGAAGGACTAGTGTAGATATTCCCTCTAGAAGTGCACATAGCCTGTCGTTCCCATTAAGTATGAATTCAGGAAGTAGCCTAGAAGAGTGAGCTGACCAAAAAAAAAAAAAGAATTCCACTATGAAGAGCTATTAGAGTGACAAGGATGCTCAAAACAAAACACATAAGAAGATGATGACTACAAAACAGCTACAAGCAAAGAAAATTATAGCTTGGGCACAGATTAAACTAGAATGTCTGGAGGAGATGAAGTAAAAGGTTAAAAAAGTTAAAATGTTTTTATAAATGAAATGAGATCACTAGAGGAAAATGGAAAAGAAATGAGAGATGTGAAAAGAAAGAATCAGAGAGGGAATTAACACCTTGCAACAAGAGATACAAAACCTTGCCCAAGCAACAAACTCTTTGAATATTAGAATGAATTGAATAGAAACTAATGATTCCACAAGATAACAAGAAACAAATCAAAGTAAAAAAAAAAACTGGCAAAAATAGAATAAAATATAAAGTATCATTGAAAATAATTTAACTGGAAAATAGATTGAGGAGAGAAAATTTAAGAATCAATAGACTGCCTGAAAACCATGACCTAAAAAGAGCCTAGACATCATATTTCAATAAATCATAAAACAGCACAGATCTCTTAGAAGAGGGCAAGATGGATCGAAAGAATACACCATTTACCACCATAACCCCCTCCAAATGAAAATGCCCAAGAACATTCTATCCAAAATCTAGAACTTCCAGGCCAAAGAAAAAATCCTTTGAGCAGCCAGAAAGAAAGAATTCGAGTGCCAAGGAGCCATAGTCAGGATCACACATGATTTTGCAGCCGCAACCCTAAAGGACTGGAGAGTCCCAGAAGGCAAAGGCTCTAGGCTTACAACCAAAAATAACTTACCCAGCAAAACTGAAAGTGATCCTATAGAGGGAGAAATGAACCTTTAAAGAAATGGATGACTTCTCAGTTTTCCTGATGAAAAGATCAGCACATAGAAACTTTGAAGTGCAAATACAGGAGTCAAGAGAAAAATATATAAAGGTAGACAAGAGGCTAAAGAAGAATAAGCTGCTTATTTTCTAATGTAGGAAGATGATATACATGTCTCCTCTGAATCCTATCATCATCAGAAGCTATAGAGGAAGTTTAATTAGAGAGAAGGTCTAGGAGTGGTTCTGTTATGTCTTCATAATCTAAAAAAAAACAAAACAAAACTGGAAAAAGAGGAATACAGGATATTTCCAGTTTTTTTCCCCTAGAATAGTTGGATAAATCCATAGCTCCACCAATAATACATGACTGTGACTGTCTTTCCATAATCCCTCTAACACTGATTATTCCCAAATTTTTCATCTTTGACAATTTGCTAGATGTGAGATAAAGTTTCAGAGTTGTTTAGGTTTACTTTTCTTTATTAATAATTTGGAGCAGTGTTTCACATGCCTGTTAATAGGATTCCACTTCTTTTGTTCATTTCCTTTGACTACTTATACATTTGAAAATGGCTTTTTAATCTTATATTTTTTTCTGAGTTGCCTATATGTCTTAGATGTCAGATCTTGTTCAGAGATATTTGATACAAAATTGTTTTTTTCCTCCAAATTGACTACTTTTCTTGTTTTCATAGTTGTCTTAATTTTGTTTGTACCAGTTTTTCTATTTCACATATTTTGAATTATTTATCTAATTCTAGTGCCTCCCCTCTGTTGATTATTTCCAAGTTACACTACATATCATAAATAACTTATTGGTATTATGAACTCCTTGAGATCAGGTACTGTCTTTTGCTTTTCTTTGTATCTCCAACACTTACCACAGTGCCTGACACATAGTAAGCACTTAATATGTGTCTCTTTACTGACTGATCTTTATCCCATAATTGGTTTAAAATTCATCCCTAGCTGTGAAAAGAACCTAATCCAATTCTCTTCCAGTTTCTTATGGTATGTTCTTTAATACTCAGACTACTTGTCCATTTTCAATATGTTTGTAATATTTGGTAGTTGGTATAGCACCAAATCTGTAAACTAATTTCAGTATTGTCATTGGCACAACCTAGCCTTGAGCAGTAAATATGCTTCTGATTGTTTAGGTATTTTATTTCTTTAAGGAACATTTTGTAATTGAATCTCTCTTGTGTACCTTGTACATTGCCTCCTAGATTGTATGTGCATTTTATAGTTATTTTAAATAGGATTTCACTTTCTGTTATTTCCTTCTGTTTTTTTAATTGTTATATAAAAATTCCATAAATATTTTGTGGATCTACTTTGTTTCCTCCTACTTTACTGGAACTGCCATTTCAGTTGTTTTCTTTGGTGGTTCTCTAGGATTTTCTATGTAAACCAACAAATAGGGATAGTTTTGTCTCCATTTTGCCTATCACTTCTTAATTGCTTAATTTCTATTGCTAGCATTTCTAGAACTGTGACAAATAATATCAGGGAAAGAGGATGTCTCTCCTTTACTCCTGTATTTATTGGGAAAGCTTCTGGTGTTTTAT